TAATTCCCGAAACAAATCCGCAAGGTATATCCTGTGCTCGCTATATATATATCTACCAATATAGTTAGTCGACTTATGCGATAGGGAGTGTGGGACATTCTTTACATCAAGATCAATGTTGAAAAAAGCCTGAAAGTCTTGGCAAAGATCATCGTTCTTTGAACGAGATGTGGATTGACGCGTCAGAATCGCAAAGAACAGTATCAAATAACAGAAACCACATCACCTGATGGAGACAAGTGGAAGAAAAAATACTGACATAATCATGATATTAACATTCCACGCCATCTGAAATACACTGTTAGGAATGAAAACCTCATCAATAGTGGAAAGATCGATAACAGCTATTGGACTTGAGAGACCTGTTTTCTTCAAAACACGTTTCAAGATTTTATAAAATTCGACCAACAGAAGCACTGTCTGCTCAGTTAATGAGTGCCAAATTCTTCCCATATTAACCTCACCTTGACTATTACTATAATTCAACTGCCGCAAAAAAAAAAAGAAAAAACCCAAAAAACTCGTAAATTTAAGCATCTTTCATCTGATATCCTTCACGTAAGCGAAACATTCAGCGTGGCATGTTTTGTGTGTACGAAGCAGAGGACACTGGGTTTTAGATAATTATATGTAAATCCATTACAATTGATCTTACAAAAAATGTAAATAGTGTAAATAGTTATAATACATAATCTTAGAAATAAAGACAGATCCTGAAGAAGATCGGAGCGTACAACGACCGAAAGGTCGTGAATATGACAATAAAGATGAGGGCAACAGTCCGACTATGTAAATAGTGTAAATGGTTACAATACCTCATCTTAGAAATACAGAGAGATCCTGAAGAAGGCTGGAGTGTACAACGGCCGAAAAGTCGTGAATATGACAATAAAGATGAGAACAACAGCCCGAACAATGTAAATAGTGTAAATAGTTACAATACCTCATCTCAGAAATATAGATAGCTCTTGAAGAAGGATGGTGAGTACAACGGCCGAAACGTCGTGAATATGACAATAAAGGACAACAGTCCGAACAATGTAAATAGTGTAAATAGTTAAAATACGTCATCTCAGAAATATATAAAGATCCGGAAGAAAGGCCGGAGCGTACAACGGCCGAAACGTCGTGAATATGACAACAAAGGACAACAGTCCGAACAATGTAAATAGTGTAAATAGTTACAATAACTCATCTCAGAAATATATAAAGATCCTGAAGCAGGCCGGAGCGTACAATGGCCGAAACGTCGTAAATATGGCAATAAAGATGAGGACAACAGTTCGAACGTTGTGAATAGTGTAAACAGTTGCAATACCTCATCTCATAAATATAGACAATTATGATGTACATTATCAAACGCTTTTTATAATCTATAAACAGAAGTACACATCCATCTGCATTTGTATGGCCCTTTCTGGCATCAGTTTGTGTATAAATATTGCATTACTTGTTCCAGTGTTTTTTAACAAATCGGTCATGCTCTTTTCCTATTTCTGATCTGATTCTGCTGATATATCTGATTATATATATATATATCTATATATATATATATATATATATATATATATATATATATATATATATATATATATATATATAATCACGTATATATATATAATCATAATCATACATATATATATAATCATGAATACACGTAAAAGTTCCATCATGTTTGAAGCAAAGTTTCTGAAGCATGCGGTAATTTTTAAGAAAATTACACAATATATAATCATCAAATGATAGAAATGCCGAATTTTTAACACGATTGCTAGTCAGTGGGGAAAATGAAAGAGAAGATGAATCACGAATACAATCTCGTTGCTCTTTGTTCTTCCTTGTTGAACACTGCTAGCGGAGCGGCCATGTTTACACTCTAAAAGCAGCAAGAAATTTGAATGGATAAAGCTAAAAACTTTGTTCTCGTGACCATAATAGTACCAACTGTAAGCACATAGGAAGAGTAGACAGGGTGACAAACCTAAAGAGATGGCGAAAGTGCTGATATTTTTTCTTATCCTTGTATATTACTCATTCAAATTCTGCTATTCTGTACCATTCCCATTGAGAATTCTGTTTGCAAATATATGACGCACAGTCTGTAGGCAATGGAAAATATTGTCAGGTCGTTCGGAATATAATATAGAATCAGCCTTGTAATTGTTTTCTAGTATGATTATATATAAGCATTTTAATTGTTTTCTAATATACTCGACTCGACTCTCCCGTCGAATTCGATGTATGAGAGTCAAGCAGATCAGTTCCCAGAAAACCGACAGCTCGACACCGGCACATGAGATTTGATTATAGTGGTGAAGGTTTCGTGCAGGACCATCCACACTTTTTGAAGGGACGAATACAGAGACCTGGTGCACTAAGGGCCACAAGGTCCCCAAACGACCCTCTGCAGGTTTTGATTTCAGAGTTGTCCTTCTTATAGACTAATTGCTATCCAAGGCTATAGAACCCAGTCTGTCCTGCTATTTACCCATAACTGGAGGGAGAAGAGGAGGATTCACAACTTTCCAAAGGGCATTAGCACGTAAGTGAAATTTAACTGGATTCGACTACCGATTCCTCAATCCAAGCCGCTATCCATTACTCCACCGTGCCTCCTAATATACTTACTTATATATATATATATATATATATATATATATATATATATATATATATATATATATATATATATATATATATATATATATATGGTTGGATAGATGTGACATCTATCCAACCAAATATGTTAGCTCTATCTCTGATATTGAGCGCTTTCTAATAAGTACCATGCATATAATATATAAATAATTATACATATATATATTTATTTATATTTATATACATTTTCACACACACACACACACATATATATATATATATATATATATATATATATATATATATATATATATATATGTATGTATATATATATATATAAACGATTTTTTTTCTTAAATACGTGATGCACCTTCTGTATACACTGTAAATAAGGTCTGACTTTAGAACAGGTCTTTTAATTGTTTTGTAATATACTCATATATATATATATATATATATATATATATATATATATATATATATATAAGCTAAACGATTTTTTCTTAAATACGTGATGTACCTTCACTCTACACTGGAAAATAATGGCCGATTTTAGAATAAGCCTTTTAATTGTTTTCTAATATATTATTAAAAGAGTTGCAAATATATATATCTGTCACTCCTAATGTTTAAAGTTCACTGTTAATTTCCTTTTGAGACATTAAATTAGAATATTATCAACGCCTCATCTTACACGTCAAAAACAAGAGATGTGTTTCTTTTTTGCATGTGTTCAAGCTTGGTAATAATACTTCTCAAACTGAGGCTAACATTAACAGGTCATGTGATGAAGGTCCCACTTGTAATCGGACAGTAGCGAGCTAGTTTCTGAGATTCCGTAGTGGGGATACGAGTTTCGAATATGAGATCCTAGAGGATGTCTATCTAAAATTGACAATCAAAAAGTAATCCAAAAAAGGTCTTACGTCAAGGCTTTAGAGAAATGAATCCGATAATAGGGTGTCAGTAGGTCAAAAATACCGGACAATCTCAAGAAAATTGGCAAGTGGATGAACCTCGATAAATAGGCTCTGTCAGTTAAAGAATTCGACCTTTTGAAGTAAGTTCGATGCTGCAAAATTCGAATAATCCATTGATTGAATATTGGCTTATGATGAGAAATAGATACTTTATGACAATCGTAAACGATCAGCTTATGATAAAGAATCGAAAAACTTTCCAAAACCGCAATTGCGCCAACAGAAAATGGCGTGACTATCTGGTAGTCCTCCATTGGCGTTATTTATTACAAAATTCCGAAATTTAATCAGAGCATCACTGCCGAAGTCTACTGCCAGTAGGTGGATGAAATGCCCATTCAGTTAAGCAAATTACAACCGGGACTGCTTAATGGACGATATCCAATTCTGTTTCATGACAATCATCGGTCACATATTGCCAGAAAGTCACTGCAAATACTCACCAACTTGTGATACGAGGCCTTGCCACCTCTACCATTTTTCACTGATCTCCCGCCCAATGATTATCACTTCTTCAAGCTTCCTGACAATTTTTTAAGCCGAAAGCAGAAACTTCAAAGATTCCTCGAGAGTTTTTACGTAAAGATAGGGTCAGGGTTAATAACCTTGTAACTCAATGGTAGAGATGTTTAGGTTTCCTATTTTGAGTGCTATAAACATTTTTAAATACATTAATTTAAGAACAAAATTTAATTCTGAGTAGTGCTATTTCAAACCAGGTTAGATTTAGTAGCAAACGAAACGATCTGTTTGTTGAAGTCTGTTTATTATATTATAGTTTATAGACGTCCTTTAGTTTCGTCTGTCCTCTAGAGCATTGGTCCTTAAACATTTTGCGCCACGGACCGGTGTCATTCAAGGCAATTTTTCCACGGACCGGTAGGGCGGTCAGTGTCAGTCACGCACATAACAAAACACAATGAACAAGACCTCTGCAGAGAATAAAATGGGGAAAATATTCTTTATTCGCAGCCCGTTACAAAATGGCCCGCGGCCCGGTACTAAATGGTCCGCGGGATGGTATTAAATTGTCCACGACATATTACCAAATGGTCCGCGACCACATACCAATCGGTGCGCGGCTCTGTACCAATTGGCCCGCGGCCTAGTACCAATTGGCCCGCGGCCTAGTACCAAATGGTCCGTGGCACGTTACTAAATGCTCCGTGGCCACGTATCAAATGGTCCGCGGTCCGGTACCTAATTTCTGCGGCCCCGTACTATGTGGTAAGCAGTACGGTACCAAATATTCTGCGTTCTGGTACTAAACGGTCTGCTGTCCGGTACCAAATGGTCCGCGCCTTGGTACCAAACGGTCCGCGTCTCTGCAGCAATTGGTCTACCGTCCGGAACCAAATGTTCCACGGTACGGCTGAAAATGTTCTGCAGCCTGGTACTAAATGGTCCCTTATTTGATATTAAATGGTCCGCAACCCGATACCAATTAATGCGCGGTCCGGTACCAAACGTTCTGCAGCCCGGCTCCAAATTTTCCGCGGCCATGTATTAGATAACCCGCGGTCCGGTACCAAATGGTCCGCGGTCCGGTACCAAATGGTCCGCGGTCCGGTACCAAATGGTCCGCGGTCCGAAACCAAATGGTCCGCGGTCCGGTACCAAATGGTCCGCGGTCCGGTACCAAATGGTCCGCGGTCCGGTACCAAATGGTCCGCGGTCCGGAACCAAATGGTCCGCGGTCCGGTACCAAATGGTCCGCGGTCCGGTACCAAATGGTCCGCGGTCCGGTACCAAATGGTCCGCGGTCCGGTACCAAATGGTCCGCGGTCCGGAACCAAATGGTCCGCGGTCCGGTACCAAATGGTCCGCGGTCCGGTACCAAATGGTCCGCGGTCCTGAACTGGTACGCGGTTTTCAAACCGCTGCTGTATAGTATTTGATCGAAACCAAAATGACAGCGCCCATTAGAAATCGCAATCCAACCAAGTTAGTGCTTTTTACTTAAAATAATTGTCTATGGAGAGTGATTTTCATTGAAGAGCATTTCCCCAAAAAGGCCAGCACAGCCAGGCAACAAGACGGCAGAGTAAGTATTTTTCCCTTTCTATGTTTTGATCTACACTTTTCGTTTCTTTTCATTTCTTTTATATCTTGTCTTTCGTTTTTTTTTTTGTAATTTTATTGACTTATCTTTTTGTCTTTTCTTTTCGTCTTTTTTTTAAACTGCCTTTTCCTTTCTTTTTCATTCTTTTATATTGTGACTTTATTTTCTGCTTTTCTCTCTTTTTATTGACTTTTATTTTTGTATTCCTTTCTTTCCGTTTTTTATCATTTCTTTTTCTTTCTTTTATATTTTTTCTTTCTTTTTCTTTTTTTTTTTACCTTCTTTTTATTGGCCGATCTTTTTGTCTTTATCTCCAGCCTATAAAAATCTCTCCGATGCTTAAATTCAAACAAATCTTTCAGTGTAATGATGAAAAAACGGAAATGTTTGAAAGGGACGAATCAATAACGACTTGTTTAATCGATACTTTGATCGATCTCCCGAATTAGGAAGCTTCTCAGTCGTCTGATTTAAAAGCTGGATTTCTTTACAGGAAAAAAAAACAAAAAAAAAAACAAAGTCGCCCATTTCACGCTAAAGTTGGCAGCGTACACAGAAATTTGCCAACGTAGACTTTACTTTTTTCACAATGAGCCTTCATCTAGGAATCCTTTCTGAGTTGAAAAAGAAAGGATTTTTGTGAATGATAAAATTTCGAAGCCAGAGTAAATCCAATTATACGAACGCGTCTTTGGAAGATGATAACAATAGCACATTTAGTGTTTATCTTAAACGTTTAAGAGATTAAAAAAGAAAGATATCTTGACTCTATCCATTGATATATTATGATTAAAATGTCTGTCAATCCGCAAATAAAAATACTGGTTTTCGACCGAGAAAATCAAAGACTATTTGCATGTAATTTTGTTTGCTCTTTCATATAACTAAAAATTTCGTTTACTTTCTTTCTATTCTTTCTTTCTTTCTTTCTTTCTTTTACAATCAGTTTTTCTTTCTTTCTTTCTTTCTTTCTTTCTTTCTTTCTTTCTTGTATTTCTTTACTTGTTACTTTCTTTGCTTCTGTTTATTTTTCTTTCTTTTGTTCTTTCGTCATTTCTTTGTTTCTTTCTTTCCTTTTCTTTCTTTCTTTCTTTCTTTTTTTGATTGTGTCTTTCTTTCTTTCTTTGATCGTTTCTTTTTTCTCTTCCTTAATTTTCTTTTATCTTTCTTTTAGATTTATATTTTCTTTCTTTCTTTTTTATTCATTTCTTTCTTTTTCTATGTATTTCTTTTGTTCTTGTTTTATTTATTTACTTGTTTCTTTCTTTCTCTTCTTCTTCTTTTTCTTGCTTCTTTATTTCTTTTTTCTTTCCTTTCCTTTCTTTGTTTGATTGTTTCTTTATTTTTCTATACTTTAATTTTCTTTTATCTTTTTTAAAACCACATTTTCTTTCTTTCTTTCTTTCTTTCTTTCTTTATTTGTTTCTTTATTTATTTATTTATTCATTTCTTTTTTTTTTGATTTTTCTCTTTCTTTCTTTTACTTTCTTTCTTTTAGTTTTTTAATGGATTTATTTATTTTATCTTTCTTTTAAAATCATTTTTTATTTATTTATTTCTTCACTCAAATTATTTGTTTGTTTGTTTCTTTTTCTCTTTCTTGCTTTCTTTCTTTTGTTTTCTCTTTCTTTCTTTAATTGCTTCCTTTTTTCTTCTTTTTATGTTCTTTCTTTTTCTATTCTTTTAATTTGGCTTTGCTTTCTTTCGTTCTTTCTTTATTTATTTATTTGCTTCTCTGTTTCTTTTTCTTTTTTCTTTCCTTTTCTCTCTCTTTTTTCTTTCTTTCATTTTCTTTTTTCTTTCTTTTACTTTCCTTCTTTTAATTTTCTTTCATTTATATTCATTCTTTTGTATGTCTTTTTTCTTTCGAATCTTTTCCATTTTCGTTTAGTTTAGTTATTTTGTACTTTTTCTTTCTTTTATAATTTCTTTCCTTATAGTATTTTTGTTTATTTAACTATTCTTATTCTCTCTCCCACATCAGCCTTTCTTTTCTTTTTTCTTATCTTTTTCCTTTCTTTCTTTCTTTTTTCTTATCTTTTTTCTTTCTTTCCTTTCTCTCGCTTAATTTTCTTTCATTTTTCTGTCTTCTCTTTCTTTTCTTTCTTTGTTTCATTCTTTATGTCTTGCTATCTTTCTTTCTTTCTTTAGTAATAGGGATATTCTGTTAAAAACAAAAGAAAAGAGTACTGAACTGTTATGTAATATCAGTCCTCCTATATGGCAGTGAATGCTGGACAAGATCCTCACAGATGAAGAAGAGACTTGAAGCAACAGAAACAAAGGAAAGAGTACTGAACTGTTATGTAATATCAGTCCTCCTATATGGCAGTGAATGCTGAACAATCTCCTCACAGATGAAGAAGAGACTTGAAGCAAGAGAAACTAAGAAAAGAGTACTGAACTGTTATGTAATATCAGTCCTTCTCTGTGGCAGTGAATACTGGACAATCTCCTCACAGATGAAGAAGAGACTTGAAGCAAGAGAAACTAAGAAAAGAGTACTGAACTGTTATGTAATATCAGTCCTTCTCTGTGGCAGTGAATACTGGACAATTTCCTCACAGATGAAGAAGAGACTTGAAGCAAGAGAAACAAAGAAAAGAGTACTGAACTGTTATGTAATATCAGTCCTTCTCTGTGGCAGTGAATACTGGACAATTTCCTCACAGATGAAGAAGAGACTTGAAGCAAGAGAAACAAAGAAAAGAGTACTGAACTGTTATGTAATATCAGTCCTTCTCTGTGCAGTGAATACTGGACAATTTCCTCACAGATGAAGAAGAGACTTGAAGCAAGAGAAACAAAGAAAAGAGTACTGAACTGTTATGTAATATCAGTCCTTCTCTGTGGCAGTGAATACATGACAATTTCCTCACAGATGAAGAAGAGACTTGAAGCAAGAGAAACAAAGAAAAGAGTACTGAACTGTTATGTAATATCAGTCCTTCTCTGTGGCAGTGAATACTGGACAATTTCCTCACAGATGAAGAAGAGACTTGAAGCAAGAGAAACAAAGAAAAGAGTACTGAACTGTTATGTAATATCAGTCCTTCTCTGTGGCAGTGAATACTGGACAATTTCCTCACAGATGAAGAAGAGACTTGAAGCAAGAGAAACAAAGAAAAGAGTACTGAACTGTTATGTAATATCAGTCCTTCTCTGTGGCAGTGAATACTGGACAATTTCCTCACAGATGAAGAAGAGACTTGAAGCAAGAGAAACAAAGAAAAGAGTACTGAACTGTTATGTAATATCAGTCCTTCTCTGTGGCAGTGAATACTGGACAATTTCCTCACAGATGAAGAAGAGACTTGAAGCAAGAGAAACAAAGAAAAGAGTACTGAACTGTTATGTAATATCAGTCCTTCTCTGTGGCAGTGAATACTGGACAATTTCCTCACAGATGAAGAAGAGACTTGAAGCAAGAGAAACAAAAAAAGAGTACTGAACTGTTATGTAATATCAGTCCTTCTCTGTGGCAGTGAATACTGGACAATTTCCTCACAGATGAAGAAGAGACTTGAAGCAAGAGAAACAAAGAAAAGAGTACTGAACTGTTATGTAATATCAGTCCTTCTCTGTGGCAGTGAATACTGGACAATTTCCTCACAGATGAAGAAGAGACTTGAAGCAAGAGAAACAAAGAAAAAGAGTACTGAACTGTTATGTAATATCAGTCCTTCTCTGTGGCAGTGAATACTGGACAATTTCCTCACAGATGAAGAAGAGACTTGAAGCAAGAGAAACAAAGAAAAGAGTACTGAACTGTTATGTAATATCAGTCCTCCTATATGGCAGTGAATACTGGACAATTTCCTCACAGATGAAGAAGAGACTTGAAGCAAGAGAAACAAAGAAAAGAGTACTGAACTGTTATGTAATATCAGTCCTTCTCTGTGGCAGTGAATACTGGACAATCTCCTCACAGATGAAGAAGAGACTTGAAGCAAGAGAAACAAAGAAAAGAGTACTGAACTGTTATGTAATATCAGTCCTTCTCTGTGGCAGTGAATACTGGACAATTTCCTCACAGATGAAGAAGAGACTTGAAGCAAGAGAAACAAAGAAAAGAGTACTGAACTGTTATGTAATATCAGTCCTTCTCTGTGGCAGTGAATACTGGACAATTTCCTCACAGATGAAGAAGAGACTTGAAGCAAGAGAAACAAAAGAAAAGAGTACTGAACTGTTATGTAATATCAGTCCTTCTCTGTGGCAGTGAATACTGGACAATTTCCTCACAGATGAAGAAGAGACTTGAAGCAAGAGAAACAAAGAAAAGAGTACTGAACTGTTATGTAATATCAATCCTCCTCTGTGGCAGTGAATACTGGACAATTTCCTCACAGATGAAGAAGAGACTTGAAGCAAGAGAAACAAAGAAAAAGAGTACTGAACTGTTATGTAATATCAATCCTCCTATATGGCAGTGAATACTGACAATTTCCTCACAGATGAAGAAGAGACTTGAAGCAAGAGAAACAAAGAAAAGAGTACTGAACTGTTATGTAATATCAGTCCTTCTCTGTGGCAGTGAATACTGGACAATTTCCTCACAGATGAAGAAGAGACTTGAAGCAAGAGAAACAAAGAAAAGAGTACTGAACTGTTATGTAATATCAGTCCTTCTCTGTGGCAGTGAATACTGGACAATTTCCTCACAGATGAAGAAGAGACTTGAAGCAAGAGAAACAAAGAAAAGAGTACTGAACTGTTATAATATCAGTCCTTCTCTGTGGCAGTGAATACTGGACAATTTCCTCACAGATGAAGAAGAGACTTGAAGCAAGAGAAACAAAGAAAAGAGTACTGAACTGTTATGTAATATCAATCCTTCTCTATGGCAGTGAATACTGGACAATTTCCTCACAGATGAAGAAGAGACTTGAAGCAAGAGAAACAAAGAAAAGAGTACTGAACTGTTATGTAATATCAATCCTCCTCTGTGGCAGTGAATACTGGACAATTTCCTCACAGATGAAGAAGAGACTTGAAGCAAGAGAAAAACAAAGAAAAAGTACTGAACTGTTATGTAATATCAGTCCTTCTCTGTGGCAGTGAATACTGGACAATTTCCTCACAGATGAAGAAGAGACTTGAAGCAAGAGAAACAAAAGAAAGAGTACTGAACTGTTATGTAATATCAATCCTTCTCTGTGGCAGTGAATACTGGACAATTTCCTCACAGATGAAGAAGAGACTTGAAGCAAGAGAAACAAAAGAAAAGAGTACTGAACTGTTATGTAATATCAATCCTCCTATGTGGCAGTGAATACTGGACAATTTCCTCACAGATGAAGAAGAGACTTGAAGCAAGAGAAACAAAAGAAAAGAGTACTGAACTGTTATGTAATATCAATCCTTCTCTGTGGCAGTGAATACTGGACAATTTCCTCACAGATGAAGAAGAGACTTGAAGCAAGAGAAACAAAAAAAAGAAAAGAGTACTGAACTGTTATGTAATATCAGTCCTTCTCTGTGGCAGTGAATACTGGACAATTTCCTCACAGATGAAGAATGAGAGACTTGAAACAAGAGAAACAAAGAAAAGAGTACTGAACTGTTATGTAATATCAATCCTTCTCTGTGGCAGTGAATACTGGACAATTTCCTCACAGATGAAGAAGAGACTTGAAGCAAGAGAAACAAAGAAAAGAGTACTGAACTGCTATGTAATATCAATCCTCCTCTGTGGCAGTGAATGCTGGACAATTTCCTCACAGATGAAGAAGAGACTTGAAGCAAGAGAAACAAAAAAAAGAGTACTGAACTGTTATGTAATATCAATCCTTCTCTGTGGCAGTGAATACTGGACAATTTCCTCACAGATGAAGAAGAGACTTGAAGCAAGAGAAACAAAGAAAAGAGTACTGAACTGTTATGTAATATCAGTCCTTCTCTGTGGCAGTGAATACTGGACAATTTCCTCACAGATGAAGAAGAGACTTGAAGCAAGAGAAACAAAGAAAAGAGTACTGAACTGTTATGTAATATCAGTCCTTCTCTGTGGCAGTGAATACTGGACAATTTCCTCACAGATGAAGAAGAGACTTGAAGCAAGAGAAACAAAAGAAAAGAGTACTGAACTGCTATGTAATATCAATCCTCCTATATGGCAGTGAATACTGGACAATTTCCTCACAGATGAAGAAGAGACTTGAAGCAAGAGAAACAAAGAAAAGAGTACTGAACTGTTATGTAATATCAGTCCTCCTCTGTGGCAGTGAATGACAATTTCCTCACAGATGAAGAAGAGACTTGAAGCAAGAGAAACAAAGAAAAGAGTACTGAACTGTTATGTAATATCAATCCTTCTCTATGGCAGTGAATACTGGACAATTTCCTCACAGATGAAGAAGAGACTTGAAGCAAGAGAAACAAAGAAAAGAGTACTGAACTGTTATACTCAATCCTCCTCTGTGGCAGTGAATACTGGACAATTTCCTCACAGATGAAGAAGAGACTTGAAGCAAGAGAAACAAAGAAAAGAGTACTGAACTGTTATGTAATATCAATCCTCCTCTATGGCAGTGAATGAATTTCCTCACAGATGAAGAAGAGACTTGAAGCAAGAGAAACAAAGAAAAAAGTACTGAACTGTTATGTAATATCAATCCTTCTCTGTGGCAGTGAATACTGGACAATTTCCTCACAGATGAAGAAGAGACTTGAAGCAAGAGAAACAAAAAAAAGAGTGCTGAACTGCTATGTAATATCAGTCCTCCTCTATGGCAGTGAATGCTGGACAATTTCCTCACAGATGAAGAAGAGACTTGAAGCAAGAGAAACAAAGAAAAGAGTACTGAACTGTTATGTAATATCAATCCTCCTCTATGGCAGTGAATACTGGACAATTTCCTCACAGATGAAGAAGGAGACTTGAAGCAAGAGAAACAAAGAAAAGAGTACTGAACTGTTATGTAATATCAATCCTCCTATGTGGCAGTGAATGCTGGACAATTTCCTCACAGATGAAGAAGAGACTTGAAGCAAGAGAAACAAAAGAAAAGAGTACTGAACTGTTATGTAATATCAATCCTCCTCTGTGGCAGTGAATACTGGACAATTTCCTCACAGATGAAGAAGAGACTTGAAGCAACAGAAACAAAGAAAAGAGTACTGAACTGTTATGTAATATCAATCCTTCT